AAAAAAAAAAAAAAAAAGGTCTGAGGCTACTGTATAGAAATCCAGACATCAGTGAAATTTATTAGAGGGGAATTACTAGATCTGCATGGGCTCTCACCAGTAAGTAAATGTAACTGGTGGTTTAAGGAAGGGATTACAGCTGCCCCGTGGTACAACCCAAATACACGCATAGGTTACCACAGCTGTAGCTGGGGCAGGAGAACCAAAGCTGGCTGCTAGATTGAGAATTCCAAAATGAGGGCAAATGATGCTAGTGGAGGGAATTGCAAGTTCCTCACAGGCATCTTCTGTTGGTCAGTGCCAGTGGTCCTGGGAAACTTCAGTTCTTTCATTTCTTCCCTTGTTTGAGAAGGAGACTATCACTGAAAGGGAGACGGAAACGAATCATTAGTCCCAAAAGCCCAGGCAAAGCTAAGCCAGACCCTTCCTGCAGGATTGGGAGCCAACACCCAAAGGATTCAGGCTTCAACCCTGGCAAACAAATGCCTTTTCCAAAGCCCCTTAAGCCTGCTGGGAGAAGTAACATGAAGCATTTTCCAGGGCCCCACCAGAAAAGAAACCGTCTCTGGCTTCCTCTCTTTGTTTTAAACTGCTAGCTGCACACTAGTAAACTTGCCTGGCACTGCCTCATCTAGCAGCACTGCACAGATTAGGCAGATGCCAAAACTGCTCTAGCTCTGTGAGCAGGGAGTGGGGCACATTGGCATGGACTGGAAAGCTTTGGGAAAATCAGTGATAACAAGAAGAGAACATTTCCTACACTTGGCTGGCTGCCTGTTTGCAGCCCTCTTTGGTCACCCTACATGCAGGATAAATCCCAGGACACTCCTCAGTTCACTACTCCTGCCTTCCTTCTCCACTGGACACACACAGTTCCAATTCCTGAACATCTGCTACTTGGTGCAGCTGTTTGTGTGGCCCCTGCAAGGAAGGAATGCAAGTTTCACATCACAAACGGGGGCTGAGATAGAGACGGAATGAACTCTCTCCGGTCAGAAAGACCCAAGGCAGCAGCATCCCAGACCCCAGGCAAACATCCCCACCCTCTTTCCAAGTCCTCAGAAAAGGATCAGAATAAGGATCAGTGTCTTACCTTCCTCTGTGTGCCAGGAGATGCATTAAGGGGATGGAGGGGAGAAAAGAGTAAAGCAATTAGATTTAATGCACTTAGTTTCTGCAGCAAGCAAGGCTGCTCCCTGCTTGGCTCTACCTTCTGGTAGCAAGACCTTCCCAGAGGAAAGATCCTGCAGCTCCCGAGAGCACCCCAGGAAGGGAGCCAGCTTCCCAGGAAGGTGCCTGTAAATCCACCCCCAACACCCCTATGCCCCCTTTACCTGGTGAAAGCCTCATCCTGCAGGTTCAGCACCAGGTTGTCTGCTGTAAGATACACACGGTTTTGTGAGGCGGCAATCTGGAAGAGACACAAGGAAAAAGAGCATTAATAAAGAACCTTTCCCCCATGAAAGACACAGCTCTGTGCTTTTGAAGATGATGTTCCATCTTGCTTAGGCCTTTGCCAATGAGGGGAGAGGGAATATATGGAGAAGGAACCATCCAAGAAGCAGAACTGGCCTGTTCCCAGTTTAGGCTCAAGCTATGTTTAAGCACATTTAAAAAGAATGGAAATTTCTTATATGATAGTCTTCTATTTTAGACAACTAAACTAATGGACTAACGATTTAGCTGTTAGCGTGGTATTTACATTTGAAATCAGAGTACCTACGCACTCTTGTTTGTATTTGCTTCACGTCTTAGTTATGCCATCGCATTTCCCCAAAATAGCTTTGTCCTGTCCAGTCTCCCCTCTCCAGTGCCATCAGACTTCCTAAAACGAGCGCTCATTCTTTCTCCCTGCCAGACAGATCTTTGATCCCAGGCTCTGATCTGTTCCCCACTTATCAGACTGCAGGAAACCAGGAGCTTTTGGCAGCCGCAGCTGGATGTGGGTGATGGAATCTGATGTGGATCTAGCCTCATTAGGTGGCGAGCACAAGCTCGTAGCCTTGCGCCTGACTGCCAGTCGTGGCAGGTAACCGGCTCGTGATCGGACTGGAGAAGGGCTGAGCAGGAACAAAGGTCAGGACAGGAGAGTCGCATTCGCCTTAAAATCATCATGTGGCCACTGGCTTGGGAGAGGCAGCACATGGAAAAGCAGTAAGAAGAAGGAAATTCCGCGCCCACCACTCACCGTTTTTGAAATGTTCTGAGCAGCGCGGATTTTACGTAGCTTGATGTAGCCTGGATTCCTGCTCAGGGCTTCACCGAGGTGCAGGGCAGCAGGAGTTAAAGAAAAAGCTGCTAGCAGAACCCCACGCTCTCAAGAAACTTTCTCTAACCTGTATCATCAAGTGTCGTGAGAAAAATGATCTATCCTAGTCACGTAGACCTCTGGGTAAGGATAATTTTACTTCCCCAAGCCAAGAATAACAAAGTTATTATCCCACACAACTGACAAAACTTAAATCTTACCCAAAGAGTTGAGGCTCACAGTCTATTCTGATCTTATCTGTAATCTTGGACAAATCCCTCTGCAGACTACAGCAGGAAAAAACAATATGGCTTTAGTAGATCTCTGCCATTCCACCAGTCTCCAGAATGTGAACCTAATAATGCAACAGATTCACACAACACCGCAACAGCCAGACTCACGAGCCACCTCCCACACAGTCCCCCTGAAAAGGATATCATCTTGGCAGCCGTAGCTTCCCCTTCAGCCTGAACAATCTTCTGCTTCTGCTCCTGCTTTGCTTTCTCCACCAGGAACTGGGCACGTTGAGCCTCCTGTTGGGCTGTAGGGGGAATGGCCAAGGGTGTCAAAGCAGATCCCATCCTCCCAAGCCCTCCAGCAGGAGCCTGCAGCTGGGCCTGCCTCCTGCTTCCCGAGGGAAGGAGGGCGGTGAGGAGCCACACTTGCAACCCAGAAATGCATCTGAACATGCTGTTTTCTAACCAACACGTACTGCACCCTCTTAACCTAACTGCCACGGTAAGAGGTAGTCCCAGTTTGGAAGCAGAACCTTGACGGTAGAGCTCGTCCAACCGAGGTTCCATTCCCTTAGGAATGGCCCAACATTTTCTGAGAAAACTTGTAAAGCAACCCTTGCAAAAACTTGTAAAATCCTTATACAACACCAAGGAAGCCCAAATTTACAGCTTTTCAGCTGCATTCATACAAAAGCAACAACCAGACAAAATTAAGCCTCCTTGTTCAACAGAAGCGTAGCAGAAAGCCACCATTTCCTGGTATAAATGGAACTCACCCACTTGCTTGGCTTCCACGGCTGCTGTGTATTCGCGGCTGAAGCTCAGCTCTGTGATAGCCACGTCATCCAGGATGAGGCTGAAATCCTTGGCTCTCTCCGTCAGTTCTCGACGGATGAGCAGCGACACCTGAAATGCAAACGTGGAGGGAAGAGTGAGACACAGAGGCTGCTGCTCTCTTCCCACACGCTCCGCGAGGAGAGCCCAACAGCCCCTCACCGTTCATTCCCACTGGGCCATAGGGAGGAATTACCCAAAACAACCTGTTACCTATGATTTTGCATCTCTTCGCTAAATTGCATATTCACAACTACCTACAAAACTTCTGAAAGTAAATATGGCTGATCTATAATTGCTAATCATTACCTATAATTAAGTAATATTGAAAAAAAAAACAAACAAGCCCTTAGGAGTTTTCTATTGTCATAGTCTATCACTTATAATTCCACAGTTCCCACTTCTCAAGAATTTCTTTCTCCACCTTGAATGCCGTTGTCTGGCTTCAACTGCTTCCTCACCCTTATACTCAGATTCAGAAAATAAGAAACCCTGCTCCTCACCACAGAGGAGCACATACAGACACATTCTACCTAACGTGGCTACTCCAAATTTTCTAATCTGTTTGACTGTAGACTTTATTTTGTATTTTTTTGTATTTATTTATTTTATTCTGTATTTTGATTTACGTATTTTCATTTATTCCTCTTATCTCCCAGCTTGCCAGTGTCTATCATACAAGCTGACAAGTACCAGACAAAACGTTGATTTAAATGGAAATCGCTGGTGCACTGTCACATCCCTGGCCACTCTAGCATTTGCTTTCAGTTTATGCAGCTCTTTCCTGAGCAGAATTCCGTAACGGTGCCAGAATGCTTCATGGCGAGCACAGGTTTAGGTAGAGTCACTTCATCTATTCCTGAACATCAAAAGCTTCAATATTCTTCACTTTGCAGTCACCAGTATTGGAAGAATTTATGACAGCAAAGGAAAAAAAAATCAGTTTGTTCAGGAAGTTCAGAGATGATCTAACAGTCCTCACTGGTTCTGACAAACCTAAATCAATGGCAGATGTTGCTTGTTTGTTGCTGTCACATTCTCCCTTCTCTCCTTACACAAGATTTGTAACAAACCTCCTCAAACCTCATCATACAGCCCAGGACAGAACCTGAACCCCCTCAATTATCAGGGTAAGAAACGCCCGCTCTTTGCTTTGTCCTCACAGATAAAAAGGCAGTTGAGAGATGCTCTGTATTTTGTTTTCCCAATAACTCTAGCAGCAGATCTTCCCCCACATGCTTCTGAAATAAATCTAAGCAATATCAAAATCCCTAGCAATCAAGTTTTTAGAAGGTGAGCTTTCCAGGGGAGGCATTTTACCTCCTTGGTAATTATTAGCATTTTTAAAAAACATACGCGTTTGCTACATTTTGGTTCTCTGGAAGAGCACTGCCTATCACTGAGAGCTTATCTCTTTAATAACACCTGATGTACCTTTTTTTTTTTTCTCTCTAGGTCCTTTAGAACTGTTTAATTTGGCTTTGACAGCTCTCCTGAGGCCCACACAGGGTCAAGCAGTCATTTTTAAAGCCTGTTCTGCCATTACCTGTGGCCTAGTACGTGTGTCAGCTCTCTTCCTCCTATCCCCACACCACAGCGTGTTTTTTTTTTTTTTCCTTAGGTCTCTACTGAGCATCCATTTTCCTTCTCGCAGCCTAGTGATACACTCTTGGTGTTCGTCTCTCTATTGAAATGAAACCGTAAGCAGGGCAGAGCTGCACATCTTTCCCATTTAGATGCTTCTGTCTAAAATAAAGCTGCCTTATCTGCCCCAGCTTATCTGCCCCACCTTCCCACGCGTGCAGGCGGCAGCGGGAGCTGGGGTTACTTGGCCTGGAGAAAAAGAGGCTCAGGGGAGATGTTATCACACCTGAAAGGACATTTTAGTGAGGTGGGGGTCAATCTCTTCTGCCGAATAACTACTGACAGAACAAGAGAAAATAGCCTAAAGTTGCACCCGGGGAAGTTCAGGTTAGATGTTAGACAGAATTTCTACACAGAAAAAGTGGTTAAGCATTGGAACACGATTCCCAGAGAAAAGTTTATGGTTGGACTCAGTGATCTTGGAGGTCTTTTCCAACCACAATGATTCTGTGATTCCGTGAATTGGACAGCGCGACTGCCCCGCAGACTCACCTGGGCTCTCTGTGTGATGAGCTGCGAGGCGTTGAACTTGGCCACAACGCTCTTGAGCACCTCGTTGACGATGGAGGGCAGCACCCGCTCCTCGTAGTCAAGGCCCAGGCGCTGGTACATGCTGGGCAGCTCCGCAGCGTTGGGACGCGTGAGGACGCGCAGCGAGATGTTCACCATCTGCAGGTCTGCACGGAGCGCGTGTGAGCAGGCACCCGCGGCCCCCAGCGCCCTCCGCGCGGCCGCTCTCACCTTTGGAACCCGTGGGCGAGGAGATCTTGCGCGGGCGGGCGCGGATGTCGTAGATGATTGGGTACTGGAACCAGGGGATCCTGCGAGGCGGGGGCAAGGGCGCCTTACGGGAGGCCACGGGGCGGGGGAGACGGGGAGCCGGCGCGGGGCGGCCCTACCTGAAGTGCAGCCCCTCGGCGAGGATCGTGTCCTGCTGGACGCCACCGATGCGGTTGAAGAAGATGGCGCGCTGGCCGCCCTCCACTGCGGGGACAGGACACGGCGCAGCGTGAGCGCAGCCAGGCCGGGCCGGGCCGGGGGCCGGGGCCGGGCCGCGGGGGCACTC